GAGGTACATGCCATTGGCGGGATGTACCCAACAGCTTGGTGACCTGGGTCTGTGGTGCTGCCAGCTTGAGCCTGCCCGTGAGGTTGTGCAGGGAAATGCTGCCCTGGGGTGCAGTGAAGCACAGGAGTTCTAGAAAGGGCCACTACTTCCTTCTCTTATGTCATCATCTTCTATAGTGCTACAAGTGAAGTACAAGCTCCAAGTATCTTACAAAGTATGTCCCTCAGAAGCTACTACTCTCCACATCCAGGACATCCCTTCTATATGAAGGGATGCTGCAGCATCAGAGGGCTATAGCAGACATGGGGAGACAGGAGCCGCCCTGCTGGCAGGTTAGGACTGCAGACTGCTCAGTCTTATGCTCAAGGTGACCTACCGGTTAGCCAGTGTCCTGGACATTCAACGACTGCTGTAAAAGCCGGTGGCTCTTCTGGGAGCCCAGGAAGTGGATCCTGCCCCACACTGGTTTTCATGAGTCCTGAGGACCCTGATTACCAATGGTGGCCGGCTGTGATTCGTGTGAGGCTAGACTGCCTATGCCATGAAAGGAGGCTCTGTGGGGCTGCACAGGCAAGGGCAGGCTCTCCTGGCACTTCCCAATAGCTGGGCCCTTGTGCCTCGCTCTGGCTACCCTCCTGTCCACACTCTGATGCACAGCAGAGGAAAGGCAGCTGAGAGACCAACGTCCACCATCTCCGACGCCTTCTTGCCTAGCTGGTGGTACTCGAGGGTTCAATGCTGCTCCACCATAACTAGTTCTCCCCCGCCACTAACACAGTAAAGCAGCCACCACAGCCTTGGCCACGACTATCTTGAGAACACTCAGCAAAGAGGCACAGCGATACTTCAGTTCATGAAACTGAATTCTTTCCATGATTCTGGCCACAAACTGAATTGGATGAGAACTGAATCAAATGTCCCTATATAGTCAACACTGAACCTAACCACTGGGTTTGATTTGGTTCTTGTCCAATTCAGTCTGTGACCGGAATGGTGGAAAGAATTAAGTTCGTGAACTAAGGTATTACTGTAACTTAATGCATGGAAAGTGACCTCCTTAGGAGCCACATAAGTGCAGAATATTTAATTTTTACTACAATTAAAACTGATGCTTTGCCACCCACCTTCTCACAGACATTGTAGGAGGCAAAAGTGAGCAGTGCTACTGCTGCTACCGGCCTTGCAGGCCTTCTTCCTAGCTTCTCATGTAGGCTCCCTGGCTGTCACGTCATTGTGTGCATTCCCCCTCAGCTAGTCCTGGGCCTGTAACCAATGCATGTGCGGGCAAAGCCAGGCATGACACGGACATACCTCTGGAGCCCAGCAGATGTGCCGGGGGACAATAAGCAAACATGCTCCTGTTCTTCGTCTGAAGAACAGCTATCTGGGATTATTTTTTGGGGGGTGGGGGGGTTTAGGGAAGGTTCTATAGGGTGTTCAGGCTCTCACTACTAGACCAGACCATAGTCATTCTCCTGTTTATAGCCCCCCAAGTGCTGGGATTACAGGCATGTGCCACCATGCCCAGTCTCAATTGCCGTCTCAGCATGCCCCAGGGACGGGCCAACACGGCAAGCCTGGGGATCGAACCCCCAGCCCCTGCACCTGCTTGCAGGCACTTTAATCTGCTGAGCTATCTGGCCAGCCCTATGTGAGAAATTTTTATACTTAAACAGTATGGCAGTTAAAATAATTCCTGATCAGCCCCAAGGAGTTCTGATGGGTAAGTCATGAGGTGAGAAGATACCTACATTTCCGGAGGAGACAGCTGTACTGAAGCTGCTCCAGTGATTTGGCTGGAAGTCACAGCTAAGAGGTTCTGAAAGCTCTCTAGGGACTTTCACAAAAACGTGGCAGTCGCTGGGAAAGTCTACCACTGACTCACAAAGAAGTCCTGGGAGAGCAGACCATTATGAAAGGATGCATGGAATCCTTTCCTTCATAGACTGATTTCTAAAGCCATGAAGGCTACAATGGAAAAAGGTCTATCTCACCAGTGAACGAAACCCAAACTCTGATTTCAGGTGACTCTCTTCAGCCATCACAGTTCCATCTCCATGTGTGCACTCTCTGTCCATGTTTGTGCCCCCTTTTCCAGCTAGGCTAAAAATGTTAGGAAGAGTTTCTTTTACCATAACTTGTCCCCAAGGATGGGGAGGACAGAGTAGTGCCTGGTTTCCTACCCTGGGTGACATTGGGGTAGGTCCCAGACCTGAAACCAGCACAAACTGGCATTCTGAGGCTGCACTTCCTCCATGTCCACTCTTCCTCCTCACCTCACCCACAACAGGGGGGCATCTGGACCAGATCTGGAAACGCCCCTCTTTCAGGACATGTGGGGCAGGATCCCTTCTCCCTAGGAAACAGGACCAGCTCATAGATGAAGCAAAGTTGCTTAAGGTGATAGACCAGGACGAAGGTGGTCTGGAGTGCTTTGGGAAGAAGAAAGCTTTTGATAATGAAAAATGCAGCACTTCCACTAATGCACTGCACTGACCCCCAGCCTCTCCAAACATGATCCCTCTCAAGTGTGTAAGCCCAGTTACAACGTGCAAATTCAAGTTAGATATTTTCTCAAATTCCCATCTGGTAAGAAAAAGTTCCACAGTTTTTCAGGTGAGTCACTCCCACCCCTGCACAGTGATCCAAGCAATTCTGTCCCCAGAAACTCCCAGGGACCTAGCGGCCCACCTCACTTTGCATCTTGCCACGAATTGTTCTCTCACAGAAACACATTCCTGAAGGACAGATTTGGAATGCTTACCTGGTACCAGTCCTGACCAATTGAGGAGTAGCTGCCCTTTTGTGATATTTATTCTACCTGGGAAGAAAAGGGCACTCTTGAATTTCCTCTGACCTTTTCCTAATCATGAGTTGGCTGGCTTTTACTTTTTCAAGGGTCCTTTACCTTTCTGCAGGCCACTCAGCTCATAGTGGAGGCCTGTAGGTGACGAAGCCACTCTGTGTGGTGGAAAGAGGCTAATCTTATGCAACAAGCCAGAGACTCAAGGTCTTGAAAATGTAGCTTTTCAGCTCCAGGTGGCTTAGGCTGAATGGAAAGACCTTTTGACAACATCCCCTTTCATGCTCTCCTACCAGGGACAGACAATTAACATGTAATAGTACTTGGAACTGAGACTGCTAACGGGACGATGCCCTTCAACAGCAGCAGACACAACAGCAGGTGGCCAGAGTGCAGGCCCAGCTCCTTCTCTCTCTCTCTCTCTCTCTCTCTCTCTCTCTCTCTCTCTCTCTCGGATCCCAACACCAGGCTGAGATGTTCCAAAGGCTGCAGCAAAGATGACAAGCCAGCGGGAGGGACAGAAGAAACCCATCTTAAAAGCTCTCCTTCCTCCTCCACAGTTGGGTAAAGCTGCATCCCCACTAGGAGCCAGTGAATATCCAGGGAAACATCCTGCAGAGCCAAACACTTAACACATGTGTGCCATGAGGCTTTGTCTAGTGAGATGCTGTCAGTTTAATTAAACAAAAAAGAAAGAGGATTTCAATAGCACATTACTCATTTCTGTCAGCCAAAGGGAGATACAGGACAAGCAAAAGGCTGCTCAACTCTGTCTTTAATAATTTTCTACCAAGGATGGAAGATTAATGTGTGACAGTATTTGGAGCTGAGACTACTAATGGGAAGATAATTACTCCACGTACCGTGTGTCTTCATGTGGTTCTCACTGTGGCGCACGTGTGAAGTACCTAGTGGATGGCATGCACTGTTCCAAGCACTTCAAAGGAGACAGAGCACTACAGAGGGCTATCGGATCTGCCAGGCCTGTTGCACATACCTCACCATTTAGATGGGGGTACAAGGGACTTTCCTGTACCTTCTCTTTGCTGCTGCCTGAGAATTCCACAGTCACACAGAACTGGGAGACAGAACACTCAGGAACAGCCAGGAGCAAGGCTGGTATGTACTTGTCACAGGCCTCATCAACAGGAAAATGGGCCTTTGAGCTCATGCCGTGGGACCCACTTTCCTCCCAGACACAGTCTAGTCATAACTTCCTTCTGACCTTAGCAGCTATGTTCCTAGCCCCTGGGCCAAGGGTTCACAATTATTCCACAAGCCCCAGGGCCCTGGTGTGCCTGCCTGTTAGCAACCCCAGGAGCCACCAAGGCCTCCAAATTCCCCCAAGATCAAGAGCCAGAAATGATTTCTTAAACTAAATGAAACCAGTTTTCAGATAAATAAGTACATAATTAAAAGCAGGCCTATTTTTTGAGTTAGGATCTTGCTATATAGTTTGGGCCAGCCTTACCCTCACTAGGGGTGATCCTCCTGACTCAGCCTCCCAAATGCTGAAAATCAAGTGTCTATAATTTGTGTGCAGTGAGGAAAACCAGCTGAACATGGAGCTGTGAAACAGTCAAGAGCCTGACAAGCCCAGCTTTGCAATGTCTAAGCAGCAGCCTTCCGCTGTTTCTCCTAAGGTGTTTTCTGAGATAATCCCCAAAGCCTGCAGGCCATGACTCTCGGGTCCAGTAGCCACAGAGCAGCTGGTCAGCTAACTCTGGTTTACTCTAGTCTACTTCTAATTTCAATAAAGACTCTTCTTCTAGCAGTAAAAAATAATTATTTACTGGGAATTTTTACCTTAAAAAATGCTATCAGTATGGGCTGGGGAGATAGCTTGGCAGTCTAAGCACCTTCCTGGCAAGCACAAGGACCTGGGTTTGATCCCCAATACCGCATGCCCATGCTGGCACTGGGGTGAGCAAGTGGAGACAACCACCAAAACTGGCATGGTGACACATGCCTATAATCCCAGTGCTAGGGAGGCTGAGACAGGAGGATCACTACGTGTCTGAGCTGTGTAGCGAGACCCTGTACCAAGTAAATAAATGATTTTTTTAAAAATGTAATCAGTAAAAATGATGTCATGGAAGTGGCCTGTAAAGAACACCATTCTTTCCACTATTTTTTCAATACTAAATAATAAAAGCAAGCACAGTATCAGGCTGTAAAGAGGACGCTGTATGCCTACCTCTACAACAGACTTGGAATCCAGGCGGAAGTTGAAGTCACCAAAGACAAAGTAGGAAGCTTTCTCAAATCGCTGATCGATAATTCTGCAGGGAAAGAAAGAGTTAGAGGTCACTGAATGACCAGACCCCAACAGTCCCACACCTGGACCAGCCATATCTGTCTTCCACACTCCCCGTGACTCACTTTCAACTTGGCTGAAGGAAATCCCCAGGGATCACTTGCATACCTTTAGCCCAGCATAGAGGCCACATGGTTGACAAACGCCACTGGACTTTATCCTCAGCACCTAGGCTAGGACAACACTAAAGCCAAGGAAAGAAGCAGCACTGACAAAGAAGCAGAAGCTAGCACAGAACTGACTGATAAACAATATTCAGAAGAGCCAGAAACAGGCGGGGAACTCATCCATGCCAGCAGGCAGGAGTGCCTGTGCACCACCTTCTGTCGTCCCTGGCTTGGCTCCTTTGCCCACTGAGACACAAGCTCACCTTGGAATATACATCATCTCACTGGGACATTTCCAAGTCACAAAGCAACAAACTGCCTATGAGATGTGTATGTACGAGCTAGGCAATGCCCTGCTGGAAGAATTTTCCACATATTCAAAATCAAGCATAAACTATTTCATGAAGATTTTTTCCACTGAAAAACACACAAGCAAACATTCAGTAGTAATGTGAAGCAGCTTCTTTTACAGGTGTAGCAAATCTCCCACTTACCTGACAATGGCAGCTACACAATCAAGAAACTCCCTTGCTTTTGAGGCAAAGTAAATGTTCTTTTTTTTTTTTTTAATATGAAAATAAAATGAGGACACCTGCAACATGGAACTTGCTAACAGCACATCAGTGCGGCTGTCTATGCAAAGGGAGAAGAAACTAGGTTATCACAGTACCAGGTTTCACTGGCCACTCTCGCCTCATTCACACCATTTACTATAAAAAGCACAGGGTAAAGCAAGAAGCAGGCAGCTGTTTTTAAGAATAAACTCAATTATTAGCCAGGAAGACAAAAGTCAATGAGAAATTTCTCAATCAGAAGCTCAGAAACTCCTAATGGCTACCAGAAAACTCCAGTGCATGACTCTCACCCTTGTATTTCCTGCTTGGTACAAATGTGCCAGTGGGCCAGTGGGGGCCAGGGGCTGTAGCTCAGGTGACATGCATACATGGAGCTGGGGTCAGGGTGCTGTGGGGCCAGAGGGATGGACAGAGTGGAAGCTGATTCATCATGGACTGGGTGTTTTTCAGCTGGATCCATTAGCTTGAGAAACCCAGAAAGGCCATGTGTAGTGTCTACTTCCTGTTCTTCAGGTTTACAAAGTGTGCTGCAGTGAGATGCTGAAGGGAGACCAAGCCACCATGGTTGGAAGAAAGAGGTTATGAAGCAGCTACTGCCACAGACCATTGCCCAACAGTTCCCACTCTGGTGCCTTAGAGCAGGCCACGGAGCACTGAGCAGCTCACTTCTCTGATCTTACGGAGCTCTGGGCTTGGAGAGACCCTGGCTCTCAACTTTCACACCCTCAGTTACAGTGAGTGTGAACATCTTTTAGCACATCACTGGAATCTGCATTTTCTTTTGTTTTATGAATACACACACTGATGTCTTGAGGACACAGAATCCCTCCAGAAGCAAAAGCTCTTCCAATATAGCCTTGTCCATTTGAAACAGGAGGCACTACAAGCAGCTCTCTTCTACCGCCCCATGTACTCACAGCCTGCCAGCCTAGCCACCTGGCCTGTCCACACCTGAGCTCACCAATCATGTTCTCTGCCAGGTTTCAACTATTGCAATTGTACCTTTGAGCCATGGCCAAGCTGCTCTCCCTGTTGGGGCACAAACATGCAGACGGGCAGCTCTGGGGTCCAGGTCCACTCAAGTCCATGGCTGTATGTCTTGTGCAAGCCTGGTGTCAAAGTGTACACTCTGGCTCCTTGTGGATGCACCCAGCCCTTTCCTCCCGAGACTCCCTGCTTCTCTACCATCTTCTCCTGAGAGGCTTACAGAGGAACTAGGCAGTGACAGAGCTGGGTGGGTACCTGGTCAGTAGTGTCCTCTGGCAAGCTATTTCACAGTGTTGCTCTGTGATACCCACTAGGGGACAGAAGGTGCTGCTCTGTTTATGTTTTGCAGAGTCAGCACTGGCAGACCCAGAAAAATTTAGACATGGGCTTGAAGACCTGATACCTGTCAGGTTTGTGGCCAGTCGGGGGCAGTGCTGCCTATCCAACAGTAGTGTACAACTGTGAACTCGCTCCCCCTAGAATCCCATCAGCTGTACTCCATTTAAAGGAATTTTCTCCTCTATTCTTTCTGTACCCTGCCCCTGCTTTTTACAGAAAAAGGAAACCACTTGTTTTGTTTTTTGCTGGCTGCAAGAATGAATGGAAAGAAGAGTACTTTACATTTCTGGGTAGAAACAATGTAGAGATAGGTGTGCACTTTATACAACAATTAATGGATTCCTATCAAAAATCACTGAACTCTCATATCTCGTAGAAAATTCCAATGTTGAAAACAATAAAAACTTTTTAGACAAAAATTTTACTTTTTCTATATTTATGTTTCACTTGATATTGGTGCGTAATGCCGGATTCAAACGTTTTAAATGACTGTAATAACAGGGATGCTCCTCAGAAGGGCCGCGCTGTACAGGCACATGCTCGTGCACACACCTCAGAGCTTTCTCAGCCCATGTCCTTCCCTACTCACCCATACTCTCACAGACCCATCAATGCAGATGGTGTCAAAGGGTCCACCGGCAGAGCAGGGCAAAGCGCAAACATGCACTAGTGCCTCACTAGTTCCTGAGCCACAAACATAGGCTAAATCTTTGTTTAAAAGATTACATCTCTTCTAGTGTAATATGGTAAGACCACCTCACATTCTGTACTAGAAATGGGAGCTCTTGACATTTTTCTGTGATCAATCTGGCACAGCTACTTTGGCTGCCACCATCTGGAGGAGGACATTCTGAGGTTTCTGAGGAGGGTGGTACCCACAGAGAGGAACAGGAAGTGAGTCGAAGCCATGCTCAGCCTAAGAGCACCAGCGAGGCACAGTCTTAGGACACCAAGACAAGCGGAGCTCACGCTCATGAATGAGTCAGGGTTGGGGCCTGTGCTTCATTACCTGGCATACGCGTCTAGCTCAATAGACTACTCTGAGTTTTGATGGAGAGGAAACAAAGGCCTACAACAAAATATGAAGAGACAGTGCTGATGGAAGACTAGCAAACACTTGCTTGACTGCATGGCAGAATCCATTCTGAGGTAAATTAAAAAAAAAAAAAACTAATAGATTTCAGACTGAAGCTGATAAACAGAAAAGTGCTTAGCGCTTAAGGAGAGTGAAAATGCTGCCTCCTGCGGCATTTCCGCCCACACGTCTTCCAGGCTGCGCTCATGGGCCTGCAATGGTGCTACAAAGCCACACAGGCACATCTGGATTCCTGTAAGACTATCATTAAAACTCTAAACTTTTATCATGCTTCCCTGCCCTGCTCTGTTTGATATAATAGCCTAAGCCAATTAATAACAACACCCATCTCTGAAGGTCATGTGGCAAGCAGTAAGATGAAGGGGCTGTCACCAGCAGAGGCAATTGCCTGAGTGCCAGGCCCACAGACCTCCCAGCACTCACTTTTAATTTCAATATAGTGCCATTTGGACCAGCGGGGGAGAAAAAGAGTTGTTTTAAAATTAATTACCTTGTCAGTAGCTATTATGATTAAAAAGTAGGCCCACATCAATATTGTGTACCTAATTCAAAAAGAGAATTACAATAAGAGCTATAAAAATCAATTTTTTAGGCCTAGAAATGGTATCTCTTAGTTTGACAGGTGATTCCAGGATGTGACAGCCTTGCTGGGGGAAGTTCTCGCTCTTCCATACTTGGTCAGGGCCTTGTCCACCTGTTCCTGGAAGACACTGTAACTCACGATGCAACGGGCTCACAACATCCAGAGAAGAGTCGCAGACAACAATTCAAGCATTGCAGTACTCCCACCAGCCACTTCCCTCTTCCCTAACATGCTAGTGGGATTTCTGGGTACCTCGAGGCTCTGTGGCCTGGGCAGGCTCCACAGAGCATCTGTGCATAGGCCCACTTTGGGGCCATAAAAAGAACAGACTTTTATACAGTTAGTTTTGTTTGTTTGTTTTAAAATTTTATCCCAAGGAGCTGAAGTGGTTTGGAAGGTGCCTTGGTGTTTTTTCCAGTAATTCCAACATGCTAGGAAGTTGGTTTTTCTTCCTTACTTTTGTTCATTTTTAAACTAGCAGACATGATGCTAAGCTCTTTGCTCTATACTTTTCAATGCAGAGCCTGTGTACAGAGATTGACTAAAGTTGGTTTGCTTCTTGGCTACAGGAGATCACATCACTGGGTCACTTTTAAATTGTCAGCAAAAACACTGACAATATAAACTTGCTAAAATTGCCAAAAATATTTTAGTCTAATTGTGTAAAGTTTTCACTTAATCTTCAATTACCTAATCAACCAATGTGTTGTATATGTAGTTAAGCCATTTTAAATAAAGTCCCTTGAACTAAATATAAACAATGGTCAGTGTGCAAATTTCCTTAACTCCACTCCTCATTCTGCCTCCACAAGAATCCAGCAGGGACCCCAGCAGCACAGCCCCATGATCCACCTATTTGCCTGACACAGCTGAGGCAGAAGCAAAGAAGCTGACTTAGTGTCAGGTCAGCAAAAAATGCCAGGCCTGCCTTGTAGCAGCCCAGAAGGAGCTCAGGTAAAGTCCCGACAATTAATGTACCCCTTGACCGGCTCCCAATGCAATGGTCCTCTACAAAGGAGCTTCTTCTCATCTTGGTACCTCAATGTCTGCCTGACTTCTTTACCCCAGCAAGCAGGGATGCTCCTAGGTTAACTACACTCTACTGGGAGCCTTTATGGCCTAGGAAACACCTGTTTTTCTCCACTCCGTCAGTGGCCTTATGTGGCCAGGCCACCCCAGGCCCACATTTACTTGCTATGGCATGCAGGTGCCACCCATCCTCTTTGCCCTGAGAGTCAAGCCAGCAGTGCCTTCCTGGCCTGTTACTGCTGTGGTCCC